ATACAGTATTTTCCTAGAATAGGGACCTCCTCCCCATGGGTGGGCTGCTGCGGGTTCGCACGGGTTCGGGGCAGTCCTCTAGCTAAGATTCTGCGTAGTTTGGCGAATCTGCAAATCCCACCCCTGGCTAGTGGCCTCCCCCACAGATACATTTACCATTGCTCTTATCCAGCCTCTGTTCACCTCCATAAAGGAAGCGGTGATGTAACCCATAAGAAATAAAGTTGATATTACAAAGGACTCTTTCCATTCCTCAGGAGCAAGAAACTTAAATTCACCCTAGATAATCATGCCAGATAAAGTCTGTCTTACTTCAGTTGGATCTGCCCGGTTGGTAGATCGGAGATCAGAACAATTTTGTCCTCTAGATCAGGGGTCGGCAACCTTTTGGACCTCAGGGACCACCAAACTCATAATTTTAAATCCCGCGGACTAATATGAATTTTGACTGACAGTGGCTTTCTGACGTTGTTGGGGAAGTCGGTCCCATATTCCAGAGCTGCAGTAGTCACAAGACTGGCCCTTTGGTCATCCCGGAGCAGTTGCTCCTCCACCTGGGTGCACTGGCCTGCCTTGGACTGGAGGAGTTGCTTTGGGATGACCAAAGGGGCAGTCTTGTGACTACTGCAGCTCTGGAATATGGGACTGACTTCCGCAACAACGTCAGCAAGCCACCCCGGGGCAGATTTCCCTCACCTGCCAGTTCCAGCTTGCGTGGCTCTACTCAAGATAAGGTTTGCACTTGGCCGAAGGGTGGGGACCAGTGGGTGAACGGGCCATGTGGGCGGTGCAGCCTTGTTTCCTGCGCAGCCTGGATTGCTTTGGGGGAACATTTCTCTGCGGACCACCAAATTTTTCTCATGGACTACCAGTGGTCCCCAGCCCACTGGTTGGCAACCACTGTTCTAGATGACTGCAAACTCTTCCCAGTGGCATAAAAGATGTTTCCTAAAAATAGACAGAAACCAGACAAGTCCTTGGAAAGTGGGTTGGGTTGTTAAAGTGAGGCAAGTTCTACCATTCACTTTTGCATCATGCATGGAACTAATCTCAGTGACTCTCTTCACTGGAGTCCATGTTAGAGAAAATTAATTTTTATACTGGTTTTATTCAGAAATAATTGACAAATCTATTTGCCTTCTTACGATCTCTTCCCCTGGGCTTCTGCATTCTCTTCAGTTTCTTGAGCATGATAAACAATTTGTTACCACACTGGATTGTTGCAATCAAAACTGTGTTGGTGCAAAAACATTTTTGAAGAAAATGGTACAGGCAACCTGATTAATATATAAATAACATTGGAAGATAGGGATGTCAAAAGCAGGTAGCAATAAACTCACTCTTATTTTAAAAGTTTGCTAAATTCTTCTACCGTACTGCCATCTGTTGATGAGAAACAAACTGCAGCAGTTCCATCAGTGGTTCGCTTCCTTATAAAAGTAAAGTCTTGGATCAAACACAATTCCTGGAAATTTCTTATATGTTGCCGTGTAGGGTTTTTTCTCTTTCTTACAATATGGAAGTGGTTTTCCACTGCCTTATTTTCAAGTTCTTTTTCCAGTCCAGTCTAGCCTACAGCCCTGGTATTTCCTGGTAGTTTTCCAAGAATTAATCAGGATTGACCCAGCTTAACCATCTAAGATCAGCCAAGTCATATTCTTATTTCTTGTAAAGCGTGGAACAAACAATTATGTAGCAGGAATTTATTTTACATATTTAATGAATACCATTTTGACATCTGAGTGCAAGCACTCATTTCCCTCTAATAATTAACTCAGCTGGTGAGTACTAGGAAGTTGGTAATCTGATCAAGTTGTTTATTTTGAGAAACAAGAGAAAAGAATTGGAATACTCAAGGAAACCCCAAGATTTTAGGACAATAAAAAAAGCTTTATTTATGTATTTGTGGCTTGTAGAGCTACCTAGCAATGATTGGACAGAATACAAAAATTAAAACCACCACAACAACCCATGACACACTGGGTAAAAACATCAACCTGTCAAATAAAAACCTATATCACCATCAGAGCTTGCCTACCTCCTTAGCTCAAGGGGGTCAGGTTAAAATAAAACATCAAGTCAATCAAAGAAGGTTGAAACATGCTCAATGGCAGATAAATACGGTAACTAAATTTGGTTCTCCCTCATATAAACATCACAGGAATGGTTTATTAATATTTCTTGTATTATTATTTTTTTACAAATTACAGGGACAAATTTCTAATTGCCATATAATTTTTCAACTGTTTTTTCTCTCTTAATATAGTTTTTAATAATGGCTTTAGTGTGATTTGTACGTTCGTTATTTGCATGTATTTATTTTTTATTGTGAGTCACTCAGACATGTGAGATGGGCAGCTATATAAATTAAATGAACAAATAAATAAGTCAACAATGGGTGTGATGGAAGAGGAAAAAGTGAACAAATATATTTGTTAAATACATTTTTAAGGCTAAGGGTTGGGCATTTATTGGTATTCAACTATATTAAAAACCCAAGTGATTCTTTGAAGATTCTAGGAAACAATGAAAAAGTCAAATGGATGATTCCAAAGTCTAGGAGGAAAACTTCCAGAAATGGTCTCAGCAGCAAGGAATTATTTTGAGATATTTGTAAAAAAGTAGAAGCTGTTAGGAGGGATTTTGTCAACAACCTCAAATTCTATGCTTGTATTACTTCCGCCCATCAGCATTTACATGGCCATGAGTCTTCTACAGAGATTAAAAAGATTTCTGTTATAAATCCTGAGGGGGGTATGGCTATTCCATTGCAATGTAGAACTGTTAATTATAGAGCCATTATTAACCTATGATTAGAAAGGCTCACATAATAGAAATGGAGGGATTGGACTGACGAGGAGATTGGCATTTTAAAAAAAAGAAAGAAAATCTGACAATTTTCCCTACAGAGTAGTAATAGAAAAATTAAACTAGATCCATACTAGAACACTGGAAGAAGGCAATTACATGAAACTGATCTACTCTGGTTCATTCATTCCTAATTTTTTAATATTTATTTGAAGTTTTGTTTGCTCTGTGCAAACAATTATTCAAATCCAGGTACTGTTTAAGTTGGGTAATATGTATAGTTTTTTAAGTTCCTCATAAAAAGCAGGATTTCCCCCCTCCTATTGTCTGAAAAATTGGCAAATCTGTACCTTCAAGCAGAAGCAGAATGTCCAAAAAATACTATGCCAGCTGAATAAACAGAACCATAAATAAATCAAAATAGATTATTAGTAAATAATGATGACAATGTTTATTTTTGTCCCTATTTTCAAAAACTGAACAGGTAGGTAGGTTAAAAAAAATGGAAGCACACAATGAAGACAGAGAGAAATAAGGAAAAGAAAAGAAAATGAAGATTGGGAAGAAGGTGAGTACAAAAATCTTAACAGGAACAACAAATAGAAGAAATGTTCCTAGTTAGCAAAAAGTCAGACTATGAAATGGAATATGGAATGGAGTACAGTAAACAGATGAGGGATGAAGGTAAAGGTTCAATAAGAAATTTTCAGGTGAAGCTGTGAGCTGTTGCTAAACAGGTAACAGATGGGAAATATTTAAAGACTCATGAAGTGGAAAGATAAGAAGACTTAATTCTACCATGCCAAGCAAGTAAGAACTGACATTCTTGTCTTCTGACAAATGAAGATGCCATTGTTAGTTCTGATAGGCACTATACTACCAGGCATTTCTCTACCACTTTTTTTCAGAGCTATACATTGGAAGAGGTGCTCTGTGGCTATCAGATAGATAGAATAGATAGATAGAATTCTTTATTGGCCAAGTATGATTGGACACACAAGGAATTTGTCGGTGCAAATGTCTTTAATTTATTCTGTTATAAAAACCAAATTCAATATCCAAGGCAAAAGGCTATTGTAGCAAGAACATTGATAGACCCTTTGAGGATTAATGACACAGAACTCTTAAAGACCTTTTTCTAATAAACCTCTGTGTTAATTTACTCTTCCACTGAGCAAGATGGGGCCACACAAATAGGAAAAACTGTTTGCCCCTGAATAGGGATTTCATTAGTTCTTCTTTTTCCAGTACAGAAATGTTTTAAAGTCACCTATTGCCCCCCCTTTTGCCCTCAACTCACAAGAGAGTTAACAACATTCCAGCATACCTCAGTGTTGGCAAATGGAGTTTTAGTCTAGCTACCTGATGATGATTGATGAAGCTTGTCAGCCATACAGTAGTGGATAGAGCAGCTTGGCAGAAGTTCAGTGTTATTGAAAGAAATCACAAATACTTATTCCATGTCCTCTGCTAACTTTTATCACATTATCAACAGACTGTCAGGATAGAGTGTTGACACTAAGCCATACATTCACACAAGCAACCTATTGTTGGCTTATTGCAATTGCAATACAGTAATTTTGTTTTGTATGGGTAATTTTGTTTTATAATTTTCTATTTTATACACAGTTAAAAAAATACTAAATTTTCCTGCCTTTTGCCTAACTTACTTCAACTTTCAGCTTGTTATTAATGCTTTTTTTTTTACAAATGAAATTATAAAGAACCAAATCATGAACTTTGCCCACAGTATGCAAATATTTAATACATATTAAATCATGGAGTTCACCCACAAATGAATTATTCTCCAGAATACTATTTACTTGTAAAACACAGTTTGACCTACAAGAACACTGCTCATTTGCAATGTTCGCTAAAAGGGCTCAACCTCCTCTAATGTTAAATATTGTCAGTGAAGGGCTACAGAGGATTCAAAGCCAACCCAGGCTTCAAAGTGTGTGTGGACCCACAAATAGTATCTGTAAAGAACATCTTAAAGAAGCAGTGATTTTTCTTAGACTCCTGTGAGTGCCATTTGCAGCTTCAGCATGATCCTGGGAAAGTCTGAGATGAAGGCATTTATAGACCCATCCCCGCATACTACAAACTGCATTTTGCCTTTGAAACTACACAACCCTATTCCAGAGCCTTTCAGGCCATTAAGCATATAAGAGTATTTTTTGTATGACACACAGAAACACTAATAGGAAAACTGCATACCTCAAAGACAGCCAACCTAATACCCTCCCATTCTCTTTAGCCAGAACAAATTTCAGTGCAATAATGACTTCTTTTTCAAGGTTTTTAAAACTTATCCTGATGACCTTTGTAACATAAAGAATTCATTCATAGACTTCAGACTATTATACTCCCAAGTTATGTGGCCTTTTACAGTTATTACTCTACACGTCAGGCCATTGCTGCATGTCTGCACATCATTACGACCCCTCCTTGCCTCCAACAGAAGCTAATTCTTCAGGGAAAGTAACAGGAGAGCTCATTGAAAGGACTCAAACAAAACATACGTAATTAATTATTCATTTTGTAAATAGATTTTAACTGTGCACTTAATCTGGTTTGTTGAAGTATAGTATAATACTGTTGCTGCTGCTACCAAACCGTGTGTGTGTGTGTGTGTGTGTGTGTGTGTTTGAAACAATTACTCAGTGCAAGGAACCTATTTCAATTGCAACTTAGCACTTGGTTTCAGTCCCTGTTACTTTTATCTAAATTCTAATACTGTCCTGGAAATCCTGAAACTTGAAAACTGCTGAAAAATGCCGGAAGAGAGTTTCTTAGAGAGCCTGTTTTGGGAGGTCCTTCTCCAAAGCTGCATACTGTTCTTTAAGATGCTCCGTAGCTTTTGCATGCTCTTCATTGACCATTGTCTTCAGGCGGTGCTGTTCCTTCATGAATTCCTCCCAGTCAGCTATACATTGGGCTTCAGCAGCCCTTAGCTTCTCAGTCTGAAGCTGAGGAGGAAAAGAGGGTAAAAAATGTTGAATCTAGCAGTGAAGAGAAAAGACATTTTACTGTACATTGCAATGAGGATATCTATTTAAAAGAAGTTATTTTTCCTTATTTTATGAAAACGTGTAGCTTGTAACAATAAATCAATCAATAAACTCACAAATAGAAGGAAAAAAGGGAAAAATCAATCAAACCTTTGCTAGGGCTTTTGGTCCACAATGATAGAATATAAAGAACTGCAATTATAAAAGTCTTTTAAAATGCAATAGCATTACATAAAACACATTATTAGAATAACTGTAGTACAAACAGCAGTGGCAATCACCAAACTTTGTGCTAAGCAACTGTACGTTGGACAAATACAACACATTATAGCACAAAATCGGGCATCCTGGCAAAATGTGTCAAGATCCTGATTAGACAGAAGCAGTGTCAGACATTGTGCTATTTATCAGGGTAGTCTTTTCAAATGAGATATGTATCTTCCTTGATTTCCTATAAAGCAGGGATGTCCAACTTCGGCGACTTTAAAACCTGTGGACTTCAACTTTCAGAATTCTGGCTGGCTGGGGAATTCTGCGGTTCACAAAATCCACATGTCTTGAAGTTGCCAAGGTTGGATACCTTGCTATAGAGAGACAACAAAAGAGCATATGGCTTTGGGATTCTACAGAGCCATTATTACTATATTGGCATAAGCAGGGCTGAAAAGGGATGTTTTTATATTGCCTCCCCTCCAAAAAACTAAAGAGCCAACCAGGCCATGGTAAAAACATAACAAAATTTCAAAATTAGAATTGAAAAGAGATAAGATGGCGTATGCCCATTTGAGAAGAAAAGATACACAATAGTAGTCTCTGAAACATTTCCTTATATACATGTTCACTCATTGTATCTGTTTGGATCAATGGCTGGACATTCAATGTTTTAAATTATATTCTGATCTACACGAGAGAGATTATTACAGGTAGTCCTTGACTAACAGCCCTTTGTTTAGCTACCAGGCGGAGTTATGGTGCTGAAAAAATATGGCTTACAACCAGTCCTCAAATGACCATTGCAGCATTCTCTCAATCACATGAACAAAAATTCAGATGGTTGGCATAAATTTTGCATTAATGACTGCAATGCCTCAGGACCATGTGATCACCTTCCCAGTTGGCTTCTGACAAGCAAAGTCAATAGAAAAACAGGCAAGGGAGGTCACAAGTCATGATCACATGATATTTAATGATCAAAGCAATAAATACCATAAAATTGGATGCAATTATGTGCTGCCACAGAAAAGACATGCCTCTGGGTTCTGCAAGATGGCATTGTGTGATTGGTGCGATCCACAGCATGCCCATTCAACCTGACCTCTTCAAGTGGATAGAAATGTGGAAACAGGCAGTCCCTAAAGTAGCCTGGCTTTATGTCATGGAAGAGTTTATAAGTGATAAACAGCCCTTGGGAGTCAACTGCTGTATTTCAGAATGCTGAGGAGACATGTGATATACTATGGTACATCCATCATTATCCTTGTTGCCCCATTCTGGGCCAAGTACAGATTCCAGATGGTTTTCAAGGGCAGCCCCACATATAACACATTACAGAAATCCAATCAGGAGAAGAACAAGGCATGAGTAACTTCCTGAGAGTCTAAAACAGGAATGTCAAACTTGCGGCATCACGGCGGCGTCATGTGATGCATCACAACTTTTCCCCCTTCACTAAACCAGGCATGGGCGTGGCCAGCATGTGACGCATCCGGCCTGCAGGTCACGAATTTGACAGCCCTGGTCTAACAGTAAGCTAAAAGGATATAAAACTGACTAAGACATTTTACTTAAAGAGCAATCAATAATGGACAGGTTGTATGGAACACTACTCTCCCTCAAAATAGTTCACAAAGCATTAGGAGGCCTGCACTTGATGGTAACTTACCATTGGACTCTCTGACACTCTTAATCTACAGAATGTACACTGCAATAAAAGAGGCTGGGGACCAGGTGTTATTGCTTTTTGAGTGAGTCCCATAGAGAAGGCCAAGGGTCTCCAATACATTCCAATCTTCAGCATTGGTTAAAAAAGAAAAGCAGCCTTTCCTATGACATCTGCTCTTTCCTCAAATATAATTTGTCTTAATGTTCACCTGTTGGTATACAATACAGCTACAAGAAACCAAGTTGATCAAAATCAGAAGAGAAAGAAAATATGTGGACTAGGGAGAGGATAGATATGCAAACTTGTAGAATGCCTTGTCTCTCCTAGCAAGTTTAGGAAATTTAGTAATGTTATATTTACACTGCATCCAGTGGTTAGAGTGCAGTACTGCAGGCTACTGCTGCAGCCAGCTGCCTACAATTTGGCAGTTAAAATCCCACCAGTCTCAAGGTTGACTCAGCCTTCCATCCTTCCGAGGTGGGTAAAATGAGGACCCAAATTGTTGGGGGCAATATGCTGACTCTGTAAACTGCTTAGAAAGGGCTGTAAAACACTATAAAGCAGTATATTAGTCTAAGTGCTATTGCTATTTTGCCCTTATCAATTACATAGAAATAAGAAATATGAAATTCGCTTCGATCTGCTTACAATGCTCCTCTATTAGGGCTGAAAAAATGAAAAGGGCTGCCTACTCCTAATTAAGGGAAACACCGAAAAAATATAAAATTAACTTCTTGCAGAGTTTTTCCTAATGCTGAGGTTTAAGAATATGTATTACAAACCAACAGTGTGCCACCATGTGAGAGGTTCTAGCAAGCTGCATGTTCTTATAATCTGGCCTTTCATGAAATAAGATCCAAGGTATGAAATGCTTTCATTTCAGAAAGCTGTAGTCATAATATGTTCAGTGTTTTTGACTGACCAGGAAAGATTTACATTTCCATTCTGTTGGGTATTTTTTGTTCCATGCAAAACAGGGATTTCCCTTTTCTCTGGCTGCGAACTAAATTCTTAGAAAAACTTTCCACCCATACAGAAGCCGAGAAGATATTAAAAACTTTGCTATTTTTTTAAGCAACTATGAAGTCTAATTAAAACTGCAGAGTTACCTATGACTTTTTTTTTACATCTTGTGTTGCTAATCCTGAGAACTTTAAAAGAACATCTAATTAATTTCAGAACAATTGGTGAATCTCAGAGTTTTTTTAATTCAGATTCTTATATGCAATTTTAATCTGATAGGAATTAAATGTCCACTTTGCAAGTTAAACAAGTATATCTTTTGAGTGATATATTCCTAAGTAGTCCTGCTAAAAGCCACAACAGATTAATTAGTGACCATATCACAGATTGCTTCAGTGTAGAGCTTTAATAATAAGCATCTGGATAAAAAAGGGAAATAAGCTCGAAAGTACACAGCCTTTGAACATTAAGTATAGCCTGAAGTATCTTTGACTGGTTTAGTGTTTAGATGACATGGTGGGCACAGTATCCTAAAAATGTAACAGCAGAGATTTAAGAAACAAAAACATTCAGTCCTGTTTATAACAATACATCAAGCAAGACGAAAGAGGAGGAGGTACAAGACAAGTCTAGAGAATCTTGGATGTGAAGTAAAAATATCTTAGTATTAAAATAGTAATCTGGATGGACAACTAGTTGTGAACATAAAACAATCCTATTCTCATTCAAATAGCATTGCTCAAATTTCAAGATAAGATGGACAATTTTCTTTCAATTATCCATAGAATATTATAGGAAGTACTTGCTTAACAACTATTATTTGTACTTATGGCCAGCACAACACCCCCAGAGTCAGGTGACTGTGATTTGCAATCTTTCCTGCCAGCTTTGGACAAGCAAAGTCAATGAGGAAGTCAGCTGGAAGTTGCAAATCTCGGCCATGTGAGGTCCTCACTTTAAGATGACATCTGGATGGTTGGAGTGCTGTCACTAAACATGGATTTTTGACAGAGTTCCCAGCCTCAGTTAGCATTGTTAAATGTGGATTCTCATAATGGAAGTGGCAAGTTTAATATACCATAAATCCTGAACCAGTGTAATGGATAGACGGAACAATCTTCAGGAAACAGGAGGAAGAAATATTGTACAACCAAGGTAAAAGTGAGATAAAAGAAATGGGAAGTTGGAGAAGAAATGTAATTTGAGAAAGCATCTTAGTTAGGACCCTCCTACCCCAAAAAGGGCCAGGGTGCGGAATGCATGCACTTATTGTAACATTGTAATAAAAAGTCTACAGAATTCACATTCATGACTTTTTTTCCCTAATCTGATTTATCTTGAAGGGATGACACCCCCTCCCTCAATATTAGATACCCCTTGTGGCTAAATAACCCATTTAAAGTCCCTTGTGCCTCCCCAAGCCAGTTGCTTCCCTCTTCCTAATAAGCTTAATGTTGCTATTTTATAATTGTTAAATAGTAGTTACCTGGCTTTCTTCCTGTTCTGTTTGCTGCAATGTATGGAACATCTGGTTGGCCACCTGTACTGAAATAAAGTTTACAGTTGTGCAACTCATCATTCATATTTTTAATGGACGGAGCCATTTTTAATGTGAGAACTACACTGTCTTTGCTCACACTACTTTGACTCAAAATGTACTGTACGCTCTTAGATCTTTCTAATGTAAGAAAAACTTCTCTTATGATTTGCTTAGCCTAGTTTAAATGTAATTTCTAAACCCTTATAAAAGTAGCTTATAACAATACAGCCCAAGCAGAAAGTGTTAGCTACTCTACAATGAAAATAAACTCTAACGTTAATTGAAACTGATGAAACACATTTCCTCTATGAAAGGAAATCTGGAATATATGAAAATGTATTGCCCAGAAGCAGTACATATCTCTCACCTTTGTCTTAAGTTGAAAAATAATAGGGTAAAGGTAGTGCAACACTTTTAAATAATTATGTGCCATCTTAGAGCAAAATCTTATCTTAATCAAACATCCTGTTGTAAGAGAGCCAGATGGATGGCAATTGGAAACCCAATTTACCTAGCAAAGGTGCTAGGTAAAGGTGCTACCTCTTCCAACAATGTCAACCCATAAGGCCTTTTATTTCCAGGTTTGTGAAGTGAGGGAAATTAAGGCCAGCTGACATTATTTTTGAGTCTCTCATCTTGAAAGCCCCCCAAATTATAGCTGCTCCTCCTTAATGTTATTCCACAAGATGCTAAAGTCAGAACTCTTTCATTTCTCTTGTAGATGTTGGACAAACCTTTGATATTTAAACTGTCACTACTGTATTGTATCTAGGGTGGATGTCTATCTTTATTTTACTATGGTTTATACTAAATTATAGCTCCATCAGAATTGGATTTGCTATCATTTTAGCTAATTTGTATTTTTGATGCTTTGATTCCTGCGGTCTTGTTATGCATTATAAGGCTTTGGTTAGTTTAAACAAGAGCCTCTGCTTCCTCTGGTGGATTATAAATGTGACAAATTAATAAATAGTACCAAATGCTTCATTGAAACAGGAGGCAAATTGTTGGACTGATCTGATGTCACTGCCTAGTATAGAAATATATTCAATTTTGTGAGTTTTACAAAGGCTAAATTATGCTATTAGCACTCAGGCCCAACTTACAGGTCTACCAAAAACCACCTGGAAGCTGTGCTGCCTGAGAAGAGTTCTCATAATGCCAAAGAGGTTGTATGTCAGATGAAGTTTATGTACCTCCCTTCTATCTTGTTTGCAAACGAAAAGAAGTCCATTTATTTTTCTTTGAAGTGAAGTGCTACCAGCAAAGCTCTGCAGCAATTCAGCGCAGTCTGTGTTCCCATTGAAGGCCTTGCCCTGGCTTGGTCCCTAAACCCAGGTTAGTCATTATACAGCAAGTCAATAAAGCCCTCTAGGGAAATACATTTTTTCCAATTTCGAAAGGATGGGTGAGCTCATTGGTGTTTTGAGAATCTATATATTTTGACAGTATTCTTTAAATACAAAAGAAAATAAATTTCCCCTTACATCTCTTTAATATTTCATTTAGATTTCCATGCATTACTTCTTCGCATTTTGGTAAAATCTTGTCATTTGCCTCAAATATTGTGTTGTTTAAGTTTTCAAGTACCCGCAATTCTCGGAGACCCCTTTTTTCCTGTTTGAAAAAAAAAGGAGAGATAATTCTAAATATTCTACAAAAAAACTGACATTTTATTAACATCAAATCCTGTTTCACTTAAAAAGAAACTAAACTGAAATTCTATACCCCTTTACTGGAAAGTAAATTCCATTGAACTCAGTGATATTTACAGCTAATTAAACATGTACACATTTTCACTGTGAAACGGATTAAATTATCTAGATTTTTAATTCTTAAGACTCCTGTTGACTAATAATTACTTGGAAATAACTCAGCAGTACTCAGAGGAACTTATTACTGATTAAATATGCTTTTGCAGTAACTGTATAATTAATATTTCCACACATTGCATGTTAATTCATCCCCATTATTCTTCATTAAAACACCACACATGTTTAAATAATAAACATTTTTACAATTATTTTTATTTTGTTCATTTTATCATCTAATCATGAAAGAAAATCACTCTGGCAGATAGAAAGCTACCAGAATTTCATACATTATCTTATTAAAGTTTTGCTGCCATCTTGTGGCAATTATGTTCAATATTATGTTTGAATTTGGGCATTAAATATTTAAATACCTTGAAAGGGCATTTAATGTTTAAAAAGCATTTTTCTGCATATTTTGCATGTTTTTAAAAAAATGAAAAGTTATTCTCTCCTACAATTTATATAATATGCTTGTGCAGCCTTGCTTTTTAATTCAAAAGCACCTTCTTTCACAAATACATCATAATTTCAAAACAATATCTAACGTACTTCAAATTCTTTGATGAAATAACGAATTTCTCCTTGAATAACTGGTCTGTGGTCCAGAAGTCGAGAATATATTTCACCAACATCTACAAGAAAAATTACAACCTACTATTTATATATTACTTGGGTTATATAAAAACCTGGGTAGGTTGATTATTTTTTCTTTCTCTGTAGTCCACTTTCCTCTTCTATAGTAGCTTTTCTCCCTTACAGTTTCCACACAGCTACAAGGGAGGAAAATTCCTTCAAAATAACAATATATGAACCATAGTGGCACAGTGGTTAGAATGCAGTCCTGCAGGATGTGCTGCCAGCAGTTTGGCAGTTTAATTCTACCGACTCAAGGTTGACTCAGCCTTTCATCCTTCCAAGGTTGGTAAAATGTGGACCCATATTGTTGGGGGCAATATGCTGGCTCTGTGAACCGCTAGAGAGGGCTGTAAAGCACTGTGAAGTGGCATATAAGTCTAAGTGCTATTGCTATTAAAGTTTTTTTATGTTGTTTTATAGCCAAATCAATGTTCAAGTTTGTACTGCCATTACAAAAGGCATTTTAATTTCATAAGGTTTAGAAGATATCAAACTCCCTTCTATCAACAGGCACTCAAACTTTTCTTGAGCTTTTGACTATAAAAAGACATATATACAACATACCTTAAAGGAAATATACAGAATTATATCTACAGACAGACCATTTTACAGTTTGTATATATAATACACACACACAAACACAACCTATACATTTTACTGTCCTATTTGTGGTGATGGATAAAACAGGTAAATAGAACATTTTAAAATTTAAAAAATGCTAATTTTACTCTTGTCAATTGTTTTGATGTGTCCAAAAACCCTGAATTCTGTGAAACCCTCAGTTACTCAGCTCAGCTAGCTTTTCTTTTGCTTTGTGTGTGCCCAAGTGGAAAAAGATTAAGAAGAAACAGAACTATCTGCAGAGATACCGTTTTTTAGACAGATCTCAATGATTTTCTGAAAGGATCCCATCTTAGATAATATGTCTCAGGGCCTTGCAATGCCTGGATTTAAAGGCAAAGAATGCTTTGGAATGCACAAGAGTTGTTGATTCTTGGCATGTTTAATTCATTGATTGACAGATTATGTGCCATCAAATCATTTTTTGACTCCTGGACACCACTGATTTTCTCCATGATGGCCTATCCCTAACTTCTTTTTCTAAGTCTCCCAACATTGTACTCATCACCACTGTACTGGCTGGCAGGTTACAATCAGCAATTTTTTAATAAAACCTCCATAAGATAACCAATCAGACTAAACAGTCCAAATCGCAAAATACTATCAAAAATAAAAGTTCTAGCCAAGAACAGACAAAAAATGGCAAGAGAGGAGTATGCCTTCAAAGGATAAAAGCCCTCAAGCCATCCTTCCATAAGCCAACTCTAACCAAGTTCAACTGATTTGCTTGACAGATCCTGTAGAGTTGGTCTTTGTCAGAAAGGGTGTAGGGTCCCCCACTTGAGTGGGTGGGTGGGGGGTTGGACTAGATGACCTATAAGGTCCCTTCCAACTCTGATGATCTGTTATCTGTTCTTGGGGGGGGGGTAAGGGGGGCATTCCAGGCTCTTAGCCAGGACATTGGCAATTTATTATTTTATCCTTCTGTTTCCTTTCAGAATGCACGAGTGTTTTATATGTAGCTTGCGCGGATTTCGTCCAAATACCTTTGCTGCCTGAGGACCTTCGCTTCTTCTGCTTCCTTCTCATGTGTCTCATTTATTGGGCAATAGATCGCGAGGAAGGCGGTTCACCGCCAGCCACCATTACCATACCCCTCTACTTCCAAAGCAAACTACTTCCTAGCTACTCCAGGGATACTACGAAATACGTTTGCAATTACCGTTTCAGCGTGCAAGAGAACTGAAACTGAACGGAGGAAAGCAAAAGGAAGGACCAGTCTTTCCTACCTTTAAAAATTGGACATGAGGAGGTGGACCCCAGTGAATCCCTCCTTTTATTACCGCTGCCAGAAACCGGAGACTCCGCGGTTTTATTGACGCTTAAAGTCCCGGGAGCCCCGCTACTCATTTCACTCAAAGCCTCCCGAGGAGGACTGCAGCGGGGCGACTTTGGAGTTTCCTCCTTACGAAAGCGCATGCGCAACTGTCATAAGGCTGTCTGGACGGGGCTCGATGTGGGTACTGCGCAAGAGCAGGGAGGCTTTTACTTTGTGAAGCCGTTTCCAAAACAACCGGTGGGAGAAATCGCCCTCTGTGACGTCAAAAATTGACATCTCATTGAAGGATTCCCGAATGGCTCGTTCTAAATACTTAGGGTCAACGTCATAGGTCGGGAGCTAAGAGGAAATATTTTTGCTCGGCACGCATTGTGAATATGAATTGGCCAGTAAGCTACGTCTCCATCTTCTAGATATTTAAAAATCTACAGATTTACAGATAGATGGTGGAGAAAATTTCCCATCTATTTAAAAGTATACTCTTTCCTAACTTGCAGTTCCTGTATACTGTCCAACAAATATTGCACCAGGAACAATACATTTTAAACGAAGCAAATCAGCTTCATTCCAGCAACATATTATTTCATGGGTTTTTGTGAAATGCTGCTAATGTGCTTAGTCCTGCAGGAAATGGAAACAAGAGTAGAGAAACTTGGCTGTTATGTTCTTTAATTTACTAGCAAATTTGAGTATTTATGAAATCTTCCTAATGTATATGAGGAAACTTCCTTTGCTGGTTGAGAGATCCCAGAAGATATTCATAAAATCATAGTAAGAGTCAAAGGATCTTAGAGATCATTTACTCCAACCTCATAATTATTGAAGGAAGGCATGATAGTAATGTCCTGAATGGAGGGCCATTTGACTTTTGCTTAAGCACCTGGAGTGGTATAATTTTTTTTATTAGTTTAACTTTATCAGAACATAAAATACAAAGAAAATGAACATAATGGGCGACTATGGGGAGCAAAAAGTAGAAAGGAGAAAGTATGGCCAAGAAGTGTTCGTAAAAGAAAAAAAAAGACTTTGGCTTCTGACTCATTTTAGCACAGTAGAAGATAATAAAATTACAATCTCAACTTCTTACTTTTACACAATGATGTATATTAGCCATTTCTATATCACCAAACCTGTCTAATCAGCGAAACCAAATTAAAAATTTTATTTTTTCCATCACAAAACCCAGAAGCCGTTTCCGAGTGGAAACAAAACTATAGATATATTCTTTTCTTTGAATAACACAATCAATTTTACTGTGTCTAATATTATTTCTTGCTGTGGAAAATAATATATATTTATTGATATGAATGTAATTGATTATACTTTCTCAGATTATTTAAACTTAAAGGGTAAAAAGCTTTTTTAAACTTTCATTTACATTCACTAAACATTTCTTTGAAAATATTTCTAAAATTAATAAATTTTTCCTGATGTCAGTCAAAATCATCTTTGTAATTTAAATCTTTTGTTTCGTTGACCAGTCTTCAGGAACAACATTTAACAACTATTAACTGTTGTCCTCCTGACAGCATTTCAGATACTTTAAGATAGTATGTCTCCTATAATCTTCTTCAGGCTAAACATACCCAACACCTCCAACCATTTTTCATACAATTTTTCCTTCTGGACCTTTATTTATCTTGACTGTTAACATCTGGAAACTTCCCAAAGGTACTTTTTCCAAAAGGTAACCAGACTATCTTGGTTTTTTTTTTTTCTTTGAAAACATCTCACTTCTCACCCAAGAAGCTTCTTCAATTCTCAGAAAACTGAAGAAGCTTCTTGGATGAGAAGCAAAAGGTTTTCAATTTTTTTTAAAAAAACATCATAATCTAATTACCTTTTGGAAAAAGCTCCTTTGGGGATAATGATGACTGGATGATTGAGAATCTCCATAGACATCTGGAGATTTCCTAAAATGCAATATCAAAACTTGGATGCAATATTCTAGGTATGGTCTGAGTAACATGCAAAACAAGAGGAACAATAATTGAACTATTTATTTATGGTTCATTGCATAATCGGCTAGATGTTTAGACTGGCTTTGACATTTTTTTCCACCTATTAAATCCTTCCCAAGGGCATGGGATAGGATGATGTTGTTTAATAATATTAAAAGTATTGTAAGGATGTAAGCTGTTCCAAGTAAAGCTGCCTTGTGCAATTGACTGGTGGTGATTTTGTCAATGCTAATGATCATTGAACTTGATTTGCAATAGCAGATCATTATCATTTAACCTTTGCATATTTGATGAGCAAACAACTTTCTTTTTCTTGGTGCACTTTGGTTCTTTTCTTCCAGACGTTTTATTACCCAAACTAGGTAATGTTTACTTACCTCACAGGATTGTTGTGGGAAAAGAATGCTATTTTGATTTTATCAGAGAATCGCCACATATAAATCAATAAATAAACAAGCACGATAAAAATACAGTTGCAGCAGCAAAAAACAGGTAGGTGATGAAACGTGGCAAGCAAAATTGTCACTCATGATCTGCCAACAAGTCACAAGATGCTCCGATCACTGACAATGTTTAATGTTTCATAATTCGATAATTTGTTTTGTGAACATTTCAATCACCAGTTACAATAAGTAATCATGTTTCTGGGAATAGCATTTCTAACTTTCATCAGTTAGATACAGAAGACTTCAAGTGCAGCTATACAACCAAGCCAAAGCTGCAAGTACAAAAATATGCGTTCCATAAATGTCATAAAATTAATTTTCTCTAAAAAAACTAATGTTTCAATTTTTCTTATTTGGAAATAATTATAGAACTAATGAACATGTGTATTTCAGAATGTAGGATTCAAAGCCACAATCCTCTTTTTGTTTAAAAAATGTTTCATACTGTGTTTTATTTTAATGTACGCTTATAGAAATTTGTCATCATTTAATTGAAGACTTTTGTAATAGAATGGATTGAAACTATTGGGTATGGAAAAGCAGAGATTGCCTAATTGTCAGGCAACAATTAATACAAATATTTCAGTATCTGAGAAATACAAAAAATAAAAAATGTTATTTTGAAGAATTGTTAGAGTTGAATGACATACAAGTTGAGTATATTATTAAAATCATTTATCTAATTCAATTGAAATATTCTTGTAATATTTCTCAAAATATAAAAATACTACTTTTGTGTAATATACCAAATCTTAATGATTTTCATTTTTGACTTTTTACTCTTATTAGTTTGATTTGTGGTATGTATTATTTTTCAAGAAGAAATTAATGATTTTCATTTTTGACTTTTTACTCTTATTAGTTTGATTTGTGGTACGTATTATTTTTCAAGAAGAAATTAAAAAAAAAAGCAAAGACCAGAAGTGGAAGAATCCCAGCAGTACACTTTGGCCTTTTCTGCACAATCCCTGTAATTACTGTTGTTATTTCAACAATCACACCATGAAATGAAAGCAATTTTCAATTCACTCTAGGCAAAAATAAATGACAGCTATGATAGAACTGGCAACCCAAGTTGAATCTTAGAATACAGAGATTTAAAAATTCTGAATATTCAGAACCATGTCTAGTTCAAAAATCTCATCAGATGGAAGAAATTAGAAGTTAAGCCATAACTGTTAGAAACTGAACTGTATAAAAGCAATCTGAAATTTAGAGGCATGCCAGAAAATTTAAGTAAGGCTTATAAAGAAATCTATATCTTCTTCTTTCATTTTACTTAATGTCTACCTTCATTATCAGCGGATGAATCTTTGGAAATTTGGGGTGTTGATGGAAAGCATGAGAAAGATAGCTTCTGCAATATATATTTGTAAAATTTGCATATATCAAAACTAAAGAAGCAATCTTGGAACTGAAAAAAATTTAAACCCTTTTAAAAGCGAGAGATAGTATAATTGGGGTTCTATCAGATGCTCCTCCAGACACTTGGAGAACTGATTTTCAAGAGAAAAAAAAACATAGCTTTGGACAAATAAAAAAAATTAAAAAATAGAGTAGAGCATCTTAGATTGAACAGGTGGTGAAAATGAAGTATTAACAACAAAAAAGTCTTCCAGACTAATCTGTCTTTTGAAATGTCCTTAATAATATAGCTAATAAAGCATTCCATTTTTCTTTACTTCTGAGAGGACTCCTTCTTTAGCATCAAACAGAAAGTCATGCAAAGAAGTATTTTTTTTAAAAGATTACAGCTTTACAAACAGAATTATGCCATAGCTGAAATTTGAACTTCAGACTTTATATTTAAATGTGACATTAGGTCTATAAGTTAATTCCTTTATTTTCTTAATGCTCATCGTTTATAACTTCCTTTTGCTAATTCTAATGAATCAACCAAATATTTTAAATGTTCAATAGACATGTTATAACTACATATTGATTATGAAATATTTCATAGTATTTTGATGATCTAAGAATTGACTACTCACCCTTATAGAGTTGTAATTGCAGGAATGTTCCAATCTCGGATGGCAAACCTCAGATAAAGAATGTTTCCAAGCAAATACAACTCAGGTAAACAAAGTCACTAATCTAAAGGAGGATTAGAGAGAGGAAGTAAACATATGTTAGACTTTAACTAGAGATAATTAATTACTGTGCTAAACAGTAACGAAAATTAAGCAGTAACAAAAGTTAACCAATGATGGAGGATAATTAAAAATGTGTATAAATGCAAGACTAGACTCCAATAAAGATCATCATGATTCAGTTGTTCATGATCAAACAACTCGACTGCCTCATTATTACAACACACCCTTATTTTACTGTTTAAATTGGCTTTTTCAACTCTTATTACCTTTGTTATCTGTTCTTCTACATTCTATAAACTCTGTGAGCTCTGAGTCTGAAAATCAACATATGTAGTCATCATGTAGTGTGTCTTGGGAAAGATTCACTAAACAAATTGTGTCACTTTGCCTTGCAATTGAAGTGATGTTCTGTTTTGGGGATTATCATGCCATCTTCAATTAGCGTTAGGGGCATTTTGTACTGTAGAAGTTTCAGATTAACATGAAGAGTCCTGCCGTTTTTCCCACGGGCTGTCTAGCAATGATACTCCACTAAAGGATTGTTTCATTCAAACGGCAGTGCATGACTTGAATGCTAATGGCGGGCAGGGAAACCCAGACCTGTTGAGGCAGACTTTTCAGGCAACAGAAGC